AAGGGGTTACACGTTACACAAGGCCGTGAACTGGGTGGACTTTTCTTGCTGAGTTAGAAGGGTTCTTTTCCATTTTGTTTTGCTTTGTTTTTAGACAAGGTCTACTGTTGTCCAGGCTAGTGCAGTGGTGTGATCACAGCTCGCTCCCGCCTGGACCTCCTGGGCTCAAGCAATATTCCCGTCTCAGCCGCCCAGGAAGCTGGAAATACAGGTGCACAACAACACGCCTGGCTAATTTTTTTAATTTTTATTTTTTGTAGAGACTGGTCTTACTATGTTGCTCAGGCTGGTCTCAAACTCCTGGGCTCAAAGTGATCCTCCCACCTCTGCCTCCCACACTGCTGGGGGCATAGGCGTGAGCCATCCCATAGCGCCCAGCCAAGAGAGTTATTTTATTTTATTCATTTATTTATTTTTTGAGACGGAGTTTCACTCTTGTTACCCAGGCTGGAGGGCAATGGCACGATCTCGGCTCACCGCAACCTCCACCTCCCGGGTTCAGGCAATTCTCCTGCCTCAGCCTCCTGAGTAGCTGGGATTACAGGCACGCGCCACCATGCCCAGCTGATTTTTTGTATTTTTAGTAGAGACGGGGTTTCACCATGTTGACCAGGATGGTCTCGATCTCTTGACCTCGTGATCCACCCGCCTCGGCCTCCCAAAGTGCTGGGATTACAGGCTTGAGCCACCGCGCCCGGCCTGAGAGTTATTTTATTTTTATTTTTATTTTTTTGAGATAGAGTCTGGCTCTGTCACCAGGCTGGAGTGCAGTGGCACGATCTCCACTCACTGCAACCTCTGCCTCCTGGATTCAAGCGGTTCTCCTGCCTCAGCCTCCTAAGTAGCTGGGACTACAGGTGAACACCACCATGCCCAGCTAATTTTTCTTTTTCTTTTTAATCTTTTAGAGATGGGATTTCACCATGCTGATCAGGCTTGTCTCAAACTCCCAGCCTCAAGTGATCCCTCGGCCTCGGCCACCCAAAGTGCTGGAATTACAGGCCTGGCCCAATTTTTGTATTTTTAGTAGGCACGCCGTTTCACATTGTTGGCCAGGCTGGTCTCAAACCCCTGACCTCACGTGATCCGTCCACCTTGGCCGCACGAAGCACTGCGATTACAGGTGTGAGCCACCACAGCCGTCCTTCGTGCCACCTTTTGATAGACCTAATAATTTATGCTGGGTCCAGCCAAAAACTCAATGATATGTTATACACTTGCAGTGGACAATTTAAGAAGTCAATTCCATGCAGTATAGAAGCAAAAAGAACATAGGAGTTTCCAAAACTCATTGAGTAAGATCTAGGAGTGGGAGAGCTCACCATTTCAAGCAGCAGTGTGCTGTGGTATCTGCCCCAATGTCACCGTTCCTGTCATTTCTGTTGGTGACAAAGTCACAGGCCAGGCAACTACAACTGTGGCTTGTTTCTTAATTCCACACTGGAATGACTTAGAGGAATTCGGTCACATCGGAGGCCATTTGAGAACAAAGATCGGGTTTTTCCCCATTCAAGGTCACGGCCCAGTCCCGGCAGGTGGCTCACACCTGTCATCCCAGCACCTTGGGAGGCCAAGGCGGGAGGATATTTTCATCCAGGGAGTTTGAGGCCAGCGTGGGCAACACAGGGAGGCCCCATCCCTACAAAACATTTAAATATTAGCCGGTCGTGGCTGCGCAGGTCTGTGTTCTCAGCTGCTCTTCCCGGCCGCAGGGTCAGCGTCTCCCGAGCGCCTTCTTCTCCCGCCTGGGGCTCCCGTGGAAACCTCACCCCATCGGAGGGCTCAGGCCAGGGCTTCCTCTAGGCCGCATTTGCTGGGCGAATGCATTCGTGTTTCAGACGGAGTCTTGCTCTGGCGGCCAGGCTGGAGAGCAGTGGTGCCGTCCCAGCTCACCGCAGCCTCCGCCTCCTGGGCTCAAGCGAGCCTCCGGCCGCAGCCTCCCGAGTGGGCCTTCCTCCGTGGGAAAGCGTTAAAACGACAGCTAACGGCTGCGTCGGTAGAAAGACGCACACAACTCAAGAGAGATTCCTTCTTATTTTGTGTTTTTTCTTCCGATTTTAACCAAAAACGACGTTGGACATTTCCACGGGCCCCGTGAGCGCCGGGCCACGCGGGGTCCCGGGCGGGTGGGGGCAGCAGGAGGCGCTGGGGCGGGGCGGGGCTGGGCTGTGCTCCGGGGCGGGGCTGTGGCTCCGGGGCGGGGCGGGGCTGTGGCTCCGGGGCGGGGCGGGGCTGTGCTCCGGGGCGGGGCGGGGCTGTGCTCCGGGGCGGGGCGGGGGTTCGGGGCGGGGCTGGGGCTCCGGGGGGGGGCGGGGCTCCGGGGCGGGGCTGGGGCTGGCACCGCCCCCCACTCCCTCCTGGGGCTCACAGCGGCCCCCGGGCCGGGCGTCATGGGCGGCCTCTTCTGGCGCTCGGCGCTGCGAGGGCTGCTCGGCGGTCCGCGGGCCCCGGGCTGGAGCCTGCTTGTGCGCCCCAGTTCGGGTGAGTGAGGCCGCGCGCCCCAGCGGGGACACGGGGGCGGACGGCGCGCGCCGCTCGGCCTTTGTCCGCGCACGTGCGGGGCGGGGTCCCCCCTTCCCGGAGGCCCCGGCCGCGGGTCGCGGGGTCAGGCCGAGCTGGGGAAGGCGCCGGCCCGCGCCCCTTCTCCTCCCCCAGGCTGCAGGCGCCCTGCGAGTTGGCATCCTGGGCGGTCCGGGGCGACCGAGGGCCCGGGGGCGAAAGGAAGGGAGAGGCCGGCGGCCGCACTGGGCAGCTGAGGATGGGGGTGAGGGTGGGGGACCCTCCCCAGCCGGGGAACACCTCCTAGGGAGCCGCTCTGCTAGGGCCTGCGCTGAAGGCCAGGTTAGACCAGAGTCTAACTGGGACGCCAGGCTCTAAGTTCCTGGGCCGCCCGGCCCCCCAGCTGCCACCTCACAGCGGGATCGAGGTCTCAGGCCTCCCTCCATGGCTCTGAAAAGTGAGCCCCCGCCTCCATCGCCCGCGCCAGCGGCAGCAGAGCCCCAGGCTAGACAAGGCACCCTGTGAACTGGGTTTTGGGGAACACACCAACCATCGGGCCTTCCGCCCATGGGCTTCAGCCGCCTGCTGGGGTTAACTTTCCCTCCTGGCCTGGCGGGGTCCCTTAGGCTCTGTCCAGCCTTTGTAGGACATCCAGGGACCCAATGCCGAGGGTCAGCTTGGCTCTGGAGGGCCTGGGATTGTAGGAGGGTGAGGACGTCTCCTGTCTGCCTGGCAGAGTCCCCTCCAGAAGAGGAAGGCTGGGGCTGAGTGCTGACTCTGGGTCTGGAAGCGGCAGGCCTTGAAACTCCACAGCAGCAGAGAGCTTGTCTCCTGGCTGGTACAGGAACCCTCCCGCCTTCCCTCTTCAATCCTCAGGCCCCTTTTGTCCGTGTTTCCAGGGCTCACCTGGTGGAGAAAGTGTATTTCTCCCTGGTTCCCTGCCTCACCTTCATCAGACACAGAGGGTGGGCTCTGGGTGGAAAGTCTGGGATTGAGACCGGGGCTGTCCTCACCCAGAAGGGCTGGAGTCAAAAGTGAGGCTGGAAGTTTTGCAGCATCTCCAGACTTCCTGGCGGCCTCTGAGCTGGACTGTGCCTCCCTGCAACTCGGGGTGGTCCCTGAGCTGGGCTGTGTCTTCCTGGAACTCTGGGTGGTCCCTGAACTGGGCCATGCCTCCGTGGAACTCGGGGTGGTCCCTGAGCTGGGTTGTGCCTTGGTTGACCTTGGGGTGATCACACCATGTCAGACAGCTTCTGCCTCTGCTGGAAGGAGCCATGGCACCTGGGAGAAGCTAGAAGCCCAGGGGACGCATTGCCTTGGGTGTCCCTGACTGGGATTATCACGGGGACGTTTCTGGGTGTGGGCACCATCCTTGTCCCTTCCAGAGCTCCCTGCATAGAGTCAGACTCCCTGAAGCCTGGTGACCTCTGGGCTCTGGCAGGGAAACCTGGGTCAGTGCCTCTGACCCCTTGCCTTTTAAAGGAGGGCCCTCCTGGACCCGGGAGCGGACCCTGGTGGCGGTGAAACCAGATGGAGTGCAGCGGCGGCTGGTGGGGGATGTCATCCAACGCTTTGAGAGGCGAGGCTTCACGCTGGTGGGGATGAAGATGCTGCAGGTAGCGCGGCTCTGGGCTTGTGGGTGTCCCTTTGGGCACGGGGCTGGGGAGTCTTCAGCCTTTCACATCCCAGCCAGCGCCAGGGCAGGGCCTGGCTTTGGCAGTTGAAGGGGCAGGAGGGATCTGTGCTGTGGCAGGGACACCGCCCATGGTGCTGCTATCTGCAGGTGCCTGGGCTGCACCAGTGCCCAGGGTTACTCTCGGGGGCTCCGCCTCCTCCCCTCGTTGCCACCCAGGCACCAGAGAGCGTCCTTGCTGAGCACTACCAGGACCTGCAGCGGAAGCCCTTCTACCCTGCCCTCATCCGCTACATGAGCTCTGGGCCCATGGTGGCCATGGTACGGTGGGGCAGGGGCAGTGGAGGGGCATGTGGGTGTGTCTTCCCCCCCAGCAAAGGGAAGAGCCCTGGATTGAGCCCAGGGGCCCTTGGTGTCCCCCACTTCTCCGCAACCGTTATCTCTTGCTGCAGGTCTGGGAAGGGTACAATGTCGTCCGTGCCTCGAGGGCCATGATTGGACACACCGACTCGGCTGAGGCTGCCCCAGGAACCATAAGGGGTGACTTCAGCGTCCACATCAGCAGGTACAGGGGCCCTGACACACCGGGCTGCTGCTGGGGGTGAGGCGGGCAAGCACTTGGGGTGGCAGCCTGTTCCTAGCGCAATCCACGGGACCGGGTGTCTTGCTTTGCTGAGGTGGGACCTAACAGCTCAGCTGGCAACAGCCATGTTCTCCCAGACCTTCCTGCACTCAGGGCAACGAGGCATTCCCTTTGTGTTTTGTGTACAGTGCCATCATTGCCTGTTACCTGACACCCCAAGGGGCTGGCACAGGGCAACTTGGGGGGAAATTAGCCTCCCAAAAACTGAGGTCTGGGTGGATCCATGAGGCGGTGAGAGGCCGAGGCCAGGCTGGAGCTCCGTTTTCCAGCTCCACTGCTCCTCCTTCCATCTGCAGTCACAGGCTTGCTCCCCTAGACAGAGGGGAACACGGGGGCGGCCGATGGCCCCTGGGGCTCCCCACGGTGCACATGAAGCGTGAGCCTCACTTTGCTCCTGTCATGGCACAGGAATGTCATCCACGCCAGCGACTCCGTGGAGGGGGCCCAGCGAGAGATCCAGCTGTGGTTCCAGAGCAGTGAGCTGGTGAGCTGGGCAGACGCAGCCCCGCACAGCAGCACCCACCCTGCCTGAGGCTCAGGCTGCCTTTACCACCCCATCCTCCATGCAGGACCCACTACCTCGGTCAGCAAGAACCCAAGCCCACATCCCTACCCGCCTGCCCAAACCACTTCCCTGTTCACCTCTGCCCCACCCCAGCCCAGAGGAGTCTGAGCCACGAACTTCAGTGCCTTTCTGTACCCCAAGCCAGCACAAGACTGGACCAATCCTTTTTGCACCAAAGTGCCAGACAACCTTTTGGGGGGGGTCTTTACAAGGTAGGGTGACCTCTCCTCCTCCAAAGGGGAGGCATTAAAATTCACTGTGCCCAGCACATGGGTGGTGCACTCATGATTTCCACCAACTCTGAGGTAGAAATGATGCTTATATTATATAAGTTGTATGCAGTTTAAGAGTAAAAATGAAGTTTTACATGCCTAGTTCCGTAATTTTGTTGGATGTATGAGCCAGGAAGGGGTCCAGAGACCATCAGCCTAGAATCTGGGGGGGACCCAAGCTGGGCGCGAGCCGGGGCTGTCTGATCGCACCGAAGGAGGAGCTGCCTTCCCTGGGAAGGGGCCAGCGGGCTGGCGCCGCCCAGCGCAGAGCGCCTGGCAGCCTTCACTGCAGCGGGGGCAGCCCTGCGTGTTTTTCCCGCGTGGCCGTGGCGGGCGCCCCATCCTGGGTTCGCGGTACCGGGCCGCCCGGGCCCCCGCAAGGAACATAAGTACTGGAACCTTTTTTTCTTCTTTGAGTCAGAGTCCCTCTCACCCAGGCTGGAGCACAGGGGCGCGATCTCGGCTCACGGCACCCCCCGGCCTCCCGGCTTCAGGCGACTCTCCCGCCTCCGCCTCCCGAGTAGCGGGGACCGCAGGCGGCGCCACCACGCCGGCTGATTTTTGTATTTCTAGCAGAGACGGGGTTTCGCCACGTTGGCCAGGCTGGTCTGGATCTCTCGACCTCTTGATCCGCCCGCCCCAGCCTCCCAAAGTGCGGGGATTACTGGCGTGAACCACCGCGCCCGGCCTCGGCCTCTTCCCTCTTGGCCCCGAAACGGGTCGTTTTGGGAACCGGCGCGGAGCGGCCGCGGTTTCCTGGGCGTCCGGGACGTTTCCCTCCCGCCCCCGCGCTGCCCATGGTGTTTACGGGGAGGCGAGGGGGGCCCAGAGGCTGCGAGCCCGGCCCGGACCAGGGGTGTCCCACGAGTCCTGCAGGCTCCGACCGCGGCGCCGACGCCGACCCTGCGGGAAAGACTCCGGCCCGGGAAACCCAGGGCGCCGCCTTCCCGCCGCGCGAACGGCCGCGCTCTGCGCCTGCGCCTGCGCCCGCGCCCCGCGCACCGACTGCCAATCCCAGCAGGCCCCGCGCGAGAGGGCGTGGCCTCGCAGAGTTCGGGGCGAGGGGCGGGGCGTCCGGGTCCGGGCGCCGCGGCCTCTGCGCCGGGATCCCCGAGGCCGAGGCCGCGCCTGCCTGTTGCCCCGCAGTGCCCGCCGCGACCGCCATGGCCCAGCCGCCGCCCGACGTGGAGGGGGACGACTGCCTCCCCGCCTACCGCCACCTCTTCTGCCCGGACTTGCTGCGGTGAGCGGGGCCGGGGCGCGGGCGCAGCCTCGGTGCGGGGTCCGGTCCGCGGGCGCCCCCACGTGGTCCCTGCATCGCCGAGCGGGCCGGCGGGGCCCCCACCCGAGGTCTCGCGTGTGCGGAAGCCTGTCTCGCCTGGCTTTTTACCTACCTTTCTTTTCTTTGTTTTCTTTCTCTTCCTTCCGTCTCTCCC